CCTAACTTCGCATACTACCACCACCACTGAATTTTGGACAAACGAAAAGTGAAAGGAAAAGTGCTTAGTTTTATCATCACTGGCTACGTAAAATTCACCTGCGTTTGCAAACGTCGCTCTAGGAAGTCTTCAATCTTGAGGCCCAAAACGTAATCAAGCTTCATACGTCCTTCGTCTAACACCCCGATTCTTACAAGGCGACGGAGCAACGCATTTCCTTCGAAGAGACGACGTTCATTCTTCTCGTCCAACGTGAGTAGCTCACGAGCGGCTTTCCGGATCTTGGCCAAGGTGTACCTTACACGCCAGACTTCACGCTTGTTACGCAGTCCGTATTCACCGATAAGTTTCAATTCCTGGTCGAGACGCGCTTTTTCGAACGGACGACGCGGCGTCACGTACGTTTTAGAATAGACGGTCTTCACGCGAACCATCTCGACGACCCCTGTAAGAAATATCCATAAATACAGCCGTTAAGCTCCAGAATGGCGTTGGCTGCAGCTGTTAAACTCCAGAATCTGATGCTCGACACAAAATATAATTTGAAAAATGCACCTTTGGATTAAAGGTAGGAAAATGTTTCAGCGAACACAGAAGCAGAATCGGAAGAGATAAGCGCACTGATCACCGCATAACAATAATAACCCGAATTGCGATAAGAATCAACCAAACTTTTCATGAAGTATAAATGCTCCTCTCAATATTCTCTGATGAACTTTATGCAATCGGCCTTCATTAATTTCAAGAAACCGGAAAACGGACTAGAGACATTTTCGTTCGATGCACGTATGATGATATCCATGAGGTACGCCATGTTTGATCACTAGATGCACAGAATTTTCAATTTGCAAAGTTGCATCTCTTTGCGGGGGAAGAATCGTCCCTCATAAGATGTCTGCGCTCAGTGGCAAAAGTGTCGAAGCGCGAGCGTATGGCGAAGTTCGAAGCAATGGTTTTGTATGCACGACATGTCTTTGTTATTGTTCATGCGCTTGATTAAGACTTCAGATAAGTTGTCAGTACTTCACTCCCTGCCTTGCCAATGCGCGTAACAGATTTTGTGCGGTTCGAAGCAATCTATCGTATATTTTGAAGAAAATTGTGATCCAAGGGATGGCAATAGCGCGGATTATGTTTAACAGGGTTATGTTTGCCAAGGGATGTCCGTGATGTTCGAGATTCTTGTTCACTTAGTGATTTTCATGGTTTTGAAGGAGTTCACGCCTAAACTTTTGAATATCTTTTCCGAATCCACAGAATCATGAAAGATTCACCTGCCAGATCTGCAGCGGTTTCAGGAGATGGATCTTCGAAGGCGTCGAGG